GTCTCAAAACCGAGACATCCCTCCATTCCCGGCTCTCCCAGCCCCAGATCGGATCCATCCCCACCCCGACTCCTCCCTGCCAAGGAATTTCGGGATCCAGGCCCTTCCCTGGCAATCTCGGCACTCCAGGAAGGGTCTCCCTTCCCTTTTCCATCCCCGACTTCCATCCCAATCCCTCGCCATGGATTCGGAGCGTCCTCCATCCTACAATCCCGCCATGGCTGGGATGGGATTCCTGGAACTTTCATCCCATCCCATTGCAGCCCCAACCCCAAATCCATCCTGGGACATTCTCTGGGAATTCCAGCCGGAAATTCCTTCCCCAGATCCCAATAAATCCCCCCTTTCCCAGTGGAATCCATTCCCACTGTCCCATCCCTCCATCCCTTATCCCATATCCCTCTCCAGCTCTCCCTGAGCTCCTTTAGGATCGGGAAGCGGCTCCGAGCATTCCCTGGATCCTGGAATCCCTTGGAGCTGCATCCCACAGGATTTGCCTGCTGGGACCCGAACCCCAGCCTGGAGCCATCCCAAAAAATTCCTGAATATTTTAGGGCAGGAAGGGCCCCTAAATCCCATCCCGTTCCATGCCTGGACACCCACCAGGATTATGGGATGCGCCGGGGCTGCGATGGGATGGGATTCAAAGCCCCTTCCCACCCAAACCATCCCAGAATTCCCCGATCCCATAAAATAAAATGTCCTGAGAATCTGCATCCCATTCCCGCGCTCCGATCCCGTTCCCAAGGACTCGCAGCTCCACTCCCTCCCTTCCCCTACAAAGGCTCCGCTTTCATTTCCCGCTGATTGAAATCCCAAAGCCGCTCCCGGCAAAGGTCAATCCCTGCTCATACGGACAATGCTGAGCCTGCTTTTCCTGCTCTGGGAGGTCATTCCCGAATAAAACCATGGAAAATGTGGGAATGCAGCTTTTCCTGGGAATGTGGGAGTGTCCCAGGATGGATTTGGGATCGGGGCTGCAATGGGATGGGATGGAAGCTGCGGGAATCCCATCCCAACCATGGCGGGATTGTGGGATGGAGGACGCTCCGAATCCATGGCSAGGGATTGGGATGGAAGTCGGGGATGGAAAAGGGAAGGGAGACCCTTCCTGGAGTGCCGAGATTGCCAGGGAAGGGCCTGGATCCCGAAATTCCTTGGCAGGGAGGAGTCGGGGTGGGGATGGATCCGATCTGGGGCTGGGAGAGCCGGGAATGGAGGGAATTCCCTGGGAAAGGGGGGATTTATTGGGATCTTGGGAAGGAATTCCCGGCCGGGAGCGGGGGGAGGGATTGAGCCGGGAAAAAAAGGAAATAAAGAGGAAAAAGAGGGAAAAAGAAGAGAAAAATAGGACAAAAAGGGCAAAGAAGGAAAAAAACCCCAGAAAAATAGAGGAAGAAAGAGGGGGGAATTGGGGAAAAAGAGGGGAAAGAGAAAAGAAGAGGAATAAAAGGGGAAAAGGGGAGAAAAGGGAGAAAGGCTGAAAAAGGAATGAGGGGGAGAAAAGGGAACAGGAGGAATAAAGAGGAAAAAAATAGGAAAAAAGAGGGAAAGAGGGGGAAAAAGGGAAAAGAGGGGGGAAAGAGGGAAAAAAGGAAAAAAAAAAGAAAAAAAAAGGAAAAAAAATAGGAAAAAAGAGGGAAAAAACGAGGGAAAAAAGGGATTTTGTTCATTTCCAGGAGACTCATGGAAAGAGGAAAAAAGAGGAAAAGAAGAGGGAAAAAAGGGGAAAAAAGAGGGAAAAAACGAGGGAAAAAAGGGATTTTGTTCATTTCCAGGAGACTCATGGAACATTTCCCAGGAAGGGAGGACTCCAGGATCCGGGAATGAGGGGTGGGAAGGGGATTTTGTAGATTCCCAGGGAAGTTGGGGCTCTCCCGGATCCCGGGATTGTCCCGGGATGGATTTGGGATCGGGGAAGGAACGGGATGGGTTTTGAGTTCCCATCCCCACCCCAAATCGTTCCAGGAGTGTCCGTGTCCTCCGGCGGCCCCGAGCGGATCACGGGAGCGATCGTTACATAAATCCCGAAGGATTTMTGGATTCTCATTCCCCGATAAGTCCGGCTCGTTCGGATATTCCGGGCCCGCGCCTTTTCCCCATCAAAGGCGGGACTCGGCAGAGGGCGATGACCGCGGGCTGATTACGGCCTCATGAATATTCATGAATATTCATGAGGCGCCGCTCTCCGCTCCGGAGGGATTTCGGGGAGCAGGGGGTGGAGGGGAACGGAGCTGAGCTGGAGGGTGGAGATTTCCAGGGGAAAAAGGGGGTGGAGGTGGAGAAAAAGGGTTGGGATGGGGAGAGAGGGTTTAGGGAAGGGGGGAAAGGATTTTGGGAATGTGGGAAAGGATTTAGGGAAGGGGGGGAAAGGATTGGGGGAGGTGGAAAAGGATGTGGGAATGTGGGAAAGGATTTTGGGAATGTGGGGAAGGACTTTGGATTCCTGAGTTTTGGGAATTCTCCTGCCTGAGCTCCCCTGGGGGAGTTTTCCCGATCCCGAGGGAATTCCCACCAGAATTCCAAGACTTCCTTCCCATCCCTGAATTTCTGGAGCTCCGGGTATC